TCAAAGTGAAACTAGTCTGGATGCGGGGGTTTTTTTTCAGAAAAAACACCTTTTCGAAAAAAACGCTGTTCCACGAGGAGTAACAGTAGTTCGGAATAGGAAGCCTAATCCGAACTACCTAGTTCGTGCCGCGTGTAGCCGCGGGCACGAAGTCTGAACTAGCGGACATTTAAAAATGGCGACGCCCGGCAAGATGCAAATGAAGCCCGGGAAATTCAAATCCCGGGCTTCATTTACAATTCCGGTTGCCTACATTAACCACCCTAGTTCGAACTAGGGTGTTAGTGTAGACATACCCTATATGCTTGTGTAAGTGGTCTTGCTCAATCCTGGGCCCCTGACTGGTGCTTAGGCCTATACTTATTAGTCCAGGGGCCCCTTTAAGACAGTGGGGCTTGAGGGTGGGGCAGGACGCAATGCCTAAATGTCAATACAGCCCCGACCCTGGTTCAGAGTGGGGCAGGCAAACAAATAGTTTCTGCAGTCAGCTTTTAGCCTAGGCCCTGGTTCAGGGTAGGCAGGCAAACAGTTTCCACAGTCAGCTTTTAGCCCAGGCCCTGGTTCAGGGCGGGGCAGGAAAACACACAGTTGTTTGGCTCACACGTAGAGGGGGAGACTGCCACCCAGTATGTTGGGTGGCAGGGGGGACGCGGGCCCTCCCTACTCCACCGTGTCCTGGCCCTGGGCCCTAGCAGTGGCCGCCTTGGCCCTTGGTGGCCACTGGGGTCAGCAGGGAATCTGCTCCAAAACACTCTGACACACATCAAAGGGCTATCAGCTCAACTGACCATTCTTGGCTTCCCCTGGACCACTTCCGGGCTCCCTCTCAGTCTGTACCTGGCTCCCAGGCAGCGGCGGGTTCACAGGGTCTACGTAGTTCACGTCTGGGAGTAGGAAAATAAGGTTCTCCTCTTCAATGACCGGGCCCGGCAGGCCAGTTAGCCTCAGCCGGATACTCAGGGTCCTCCCAGTGTGAAAGTTCAGGGTAGGCTTCTGCTCCCGCCAGTGGCTGCCCCCCTAATGAGCTTATCGGCTCAGCTTTTATACTTCCTGCTTCACCTCTAGGCCTTTGAAGACTTAAAGGGGCAGGGTCCGTTTCAGCCCACCCAGGCTTAGAGAGGGGTTCTTCTTCCTCAGGGTCAGTGAGTGGCCATCCCTGCTCACTACAGCTTGGAAAAATTGTCCACCACTACCGAGTATTGGTATCCTCTGAATCTGCATAAATCTGCAGCTTATCTCTTCCAAGGTCTGTTTGGCAGAAATGATGCTGTTATTAAAGGTTCTTTGTATTGTGTTGGTCAGTTAGTTCTGCAGTGTTCAATACAGATACTTTATTCTGTATGTTCTTGCTGATGCCCAGATACCAAACTGTTTGACTTATTCATGGAATTTATTAAGTCATCAGTGTCCTTCATGGATGAGGTTTAGGATTTCCCTTTTAATTTTGTTTCAAATTACAATACAATCACATGTAATCAGGAGCTCATTTGACTCACTTAAATCAAATGAGCTCCTGATTACATGTGATTGTAACTTGCTAAGTCTCCTTTAGATAGTTGGACCAGATACTTGTACTATAGAATTTCGAGAAGTTGTCTGTGTGTCATGGTTGCTCTTTGGAATGGATGTAGTCTCTTTTCTGACACAGATCTGAATGGGTGTGTCTAGACTACATCCCTCTTTCGAGAAAGGGATGTAAATTAGGCACGTCGATATTACAAATGAAGCTGGGATTTGAATTTCCTGCGCTTCATTTTCATAATCGCATCATGGTGCTCTTTTGAAAAAGCACTATTTCGAAAGTAAAACCATAGTCTAGACTCATTTCTTTTGAAAAAAGAAGCCTTTTTCGAAAGATCCTGTAAACCTCATTTTTTGAGGTTTATAGGATCTTTCGAAAAAGCTGTCCCTTTTTGCTACTATTTTCTTTTGTTACTGTTTTGCTACTATTTTCTAACTTCTTGGCTAGATATTCTTCAATTTTTTTTGATCTTCCAATTATATTTTTACACTTCATTTCTCAGAGTTTATGCTCCTTTCTATTTTCTATAATTTAGCTTCCATTTTTAAAAGGATACCTTTTTGCCTCTTATTGCTTCTTTTAGTTTGTTGTTTAGCCCCGTGGCATGTTTTTGGTATTTTTTTAAATTTGGGGTATACACTTAAGTTTAGCCTCTATTATGGTGTCTTTAAAAAATTTCCATTCAACTTGCAAAGATTTCATCAGGTCCTGAACCAGTGAGATACATAACTCATAGTTCAGCATTGATGGTAGCTATGGGGAAGCATCCCAGTTTCCTCAGATGTCATTAATGTGGTAGTAAACAAGGGCAAGAAAAATTAATGAACAAAAGAAGTGATCTGTTTTGTGTTTTAACAATGCACTTTAGCTTTGCTTTTAAATTGTTACTTTTTTTTGTTTTATTACAAAGGCAATTGAAAACTTTACTTTTAGAAAGAAATCCTATAAAAAGGCTGCCCGTGGAGCTCGGTAAGTACCCAATTCCCTCTGCCCCCACCCCCGCTCCCCCGAAGTATACAATGTAAAAGAATCCTATCAGACTTATACTTTTTCCATTTAATGCTTTAGTCAAGATTAAAAGTGATGTATAGCAACCTGTCTAAATATAATTAAAGAAAGCTTCTTGTTTTATAGTGAATATTTGTTGCACAGCAATATAATAATGACAAATGCATTTTCAAGTGACCTCTAAAATTATACTCACAAAATTGCATGTTGAAAGCTCCTATGCAAACTAATTACCCTGTCTTGTATCATCAGAAAAAGAGGGGAAAAGATCTGGAATGATTTTAGAAGAACAGTTGGACTAAAGAATCTTAACAGAATGAGAGAGTTTGAAATTTAAGCAGATGTGTTCTTTGAAAGCTTCATTGATCACATATGAAATATTTCTGTATAGATGGATTCAGTAATTTACCATAGCTTAACCTACAGAAATAAAAAACAGTACACCCTATAAAATATACATGACACTGTATTGACCTCCACTGTCTAGCAAGTGTGACTTGTATGAAATAATATTTCTTCAGTGGGAATTTTTTGTCTATGCAGGTAATGGAATGCCCAATATTCATATCGCACTAGAAGTATTCATCTTCCATTATTATTTGTTTAGCACCCATGTTGAAATGTCATTGTAAGATAGGCTGAATCTTGTTTAAATGATATTTCTACATCAGCGAAATCATCACTTATGTAGCTAACATGCAATTTGTATACTTATTCAAGAAAAATTCTGGGAAGAGTGATTCGTGCAGTGATTAATGGCTCACGTATCTAATTTTTCTGGTTCTTTCTGTCCTCCCTCAGTATCTGCATACAAGGTGTACATTTTTAACAGTGCTCTGGGGGTGAGATGGCTGGAGCCATGCACCCTCCTCCCATCCCAGTGCTCCAGGGTGGAGAAAATTTGGCACAAGCACACATGTGCCTACTCCTTTTCTCCCCGTGGAGGTGTGTTACATGCCATCAGCAGAAGGGGCAGGACTGTAGGTGGAGTTGGGGGCTTACCTGCCTCCCCCAGCCCTACCTGCACCGACTGCCCATGGTGAGTTCATTTTAAATAGTGATTATCTGGTTTCATCCATATGGTTGTTATTGGGATATTTGATGCCCTGGGTGAGGTACACCATATGTTGTGACAGGCATGTGTAGGACCATGGATTTTGAAAGGTGTGTTGCAGGAGTATTTATTATAGCTGTGGAGATATGCCTTCAGGTTTTGCATCTGTTGTTCTGGGAGAGTCTAGTGCCATTTTGAGTTGGTGTGTCCTGATCTTAGAGGAGCTTGTTCCTAATGATGAGTTTGGTGTGAGGGGGCTTGTTTTGAAGGCCAGAAAAGGGGTTCAGGAAAGATTTCTTTCAGAGTGTGGCCCCCATTAAGTATGATTTGTAACTGTTTGATGATATCCCATGTTAGGTAGTAGAGAACAAGTAGGTGTATGTAGTCCGTGAGGGTTTTTCCACCCTGTATTGAAGCACATTCTCCTGTGGAATTGGGTGGCTTATTCCATGATGTCCTCTACAACTTTGGTGGAGTGTTCTGATTAACTGAACACAATGGCTGTGTCTACACTGCACCCCTTTTCCGGAAAAGGGATGCAGATGAGACAAGTCGGAATTGCAAATGAAGCGGGGATTTATATCTCCCCCGCTCCATTTGCATGAACATGGCTGTCGCTTTTTTCTGGCTCGGGGCTTTGCCGGAAAAAAGCGCCAGTCTAGATGGGGATCTTTCGGAAAATAAAGCCTTTTCCGAAAGGTCCCTTATTCCTCTTAAAATCAGGAATAAGGGACCTTTCGGAAAAAGCTTTATTTTCCGAAAGATCCCCGTCTAGACTGGCGCTTTTTTCCGGCAAAGCCCCGAGCCAGAAAAAAGCGGCAGCCCTGTTCATGCAAATGAAGCAGGGGAGATGTAAATCCCCGCAGCATTTGCAATTCCAACTTGTCTCATCTGCATCCCTTTTCCGGAAAAGGGGTGCAGTGTAGACACAGCCAATGTGAAGTACTTTAAGGTGTGTATTCTGCACTGCCTTCTTGGAGTATATTCTGTGATTTCTGAAGGTCCGGTAACAGAGTTCTTAGCCTGTTTGAGATGATTATAGAATCTGTGAAAGTGTGGTGATCCATTAGTTCCTTGTCTATAGTTATCTGTAGAATCCCATATTTCAAGCTAATCGTGGTGTCCCGGCATTTGATGCTGGTGTGAGTTCTAAAGTTTAATGGATGGGTGGGATTTGAAATGATGGCATTAATTTAATAGGGAGTCTAGGTTTCTGTCCAGAGAATGAAGATTCTTCCAGAAATTCTTTCTTGAGATGGCTCATAAAGAGATTAGCATATTGGGAATCCATTCTGCTGCCCATGGCTAGTCCCATCTTTAGTAGAAATAGAGACTGAGACGTCACACCTTAGATCAGAGGTTCGGTATTGAGGCCTGAGGCCTGAACTGAAGAAGTGGTCCAGCCATGCTATTATAAGACAATCAGCAAAATTCAGATTGTTATCAGAAGTCAGTCTGCCTGTTTGCAGGTTCACAGAATCTGGCAAGAACAGGACTAGTATTGCAAAAAAATACACATTCCTGAGATGAGCAAGGCTCATTAATTTAATAGGTATTATGGGTGGTACTAGAACACCCTCATACCAAGTATGGTACATAAACATTCCCCAAAGATAACAGGAATATGTTGATCTCTCTTAAAGATAAGATTATGATGCCAGTATGATAGACTAAAGATCTTTTGATTAAGTCAATGTGTATAAGGTAATAGATGGTAACAAACCATATCAGGGGAAAGTAACTAACTATGGCAGAGAGGCAATATGTAATTTGTTTGTATTGGTGTATAAAATAAAGCCTAAAGTCCCACCACTGACTCTGCTGATCCATTGTAAC